ATGCCTGCGACAAGTTGGCAAGTAAAGACCAACAGGAGCACTCTTGCTTTTTTCCCAAATCTTTGCTCGTGTCACCCTTCCAGCCGACAACACAGGAGCTGAACCACTTCACCAACGTGATGTCGAAGGGTGGTCAAGTCGAGCGCTTTTCGCCGATTCTCGGACTTGCAAGGATCCGTCGCAGTAGCTGGATTAAGCAGCAAGAAACAAAGCCCGTAGTACTATAGATTGACAAGGAAAGTGGATTGGAGCTCCGGGATGCTCAAGTTCGGGTGCTTTTGCCTCTCACGCATGAGGCATTTGGAGGACGACGGTTTCCCGCCTGTCGGGACATATCTCCAAGCGGGTGACCATCTTTACTGCACAGTCAACTACAAGGGGGAAGCGCACATCGAGAAATACAAGGACCTGAGCTGTCTTGAACGATCTCCGTCGGCTCGTGTTTGTGTGTGCCCGTCAGCCCCGCTAGCCATCGTTCTGATATGTTGGCTTCAGGACGACGAGCCGGCCTACGTCGAGCAAGTTGTCAAGCTGGACGGCTGTCATGTGATTGGATCGCAGCCATGCAAGCGCGCGATTCTGAATCTTGTTCAACAGTCGAGTGAAGGCTGTGTGCTTCCCGTTGCGGCGCGTACTGATGCTGAAACTGTTGGAGCCACAATTTCTACCAGAGCCTGATAGTTTGCTTTAATGTCACCGCAAGGAAGCTTCGCTACACACGAAATCCCGTCGTTGGCGACAAGTTTTCCTCGCGCCATGGGCAGAAAGGCATCGAGGGGACATCTGACACATTGACATAAGTTGTGTCGAGGAGACTACTCCATTGCGATCTCCGGGCCTTTTGCTCTAGCTCTAGCTCCGCTGCCCTAAGTTGACGCTTTTTGTGGGCCATTTGTTGCATTTTTTCAAGTCTCATGGCGAGTGCCTGGGAGGCGTGATGAGCGTTCTCTGGCCGGGTGAAGACATGCCGTTTACCGAGGGAGGACTCACTCCCGATATTCTTTTCAATCCGCATGGTTTCCCATCTCGAATGACGATCGGAATGCTGATAGAGTCCCGGCAGCAAGGCGCCTTTTTTCGGTTTAGTTGTGTACGGAGTGAGATCCGGTGTGAACACCTCAGCGGCAGAGTCGAGAGTCTGGATTCCCATGACTGCCCCGACGGTGCTTCCAGGAAAGCATTGCCGGTAAAACGGCCGCCCTGGAAGCTCGCAAGACGGCTGATGCAACGACCTTCCGAGAATTTCGGCGGATCCCAGAGCGGCTTCTAACCCCTCGGCCCTTGGGCCCTTCTCCTTCACTTGATCAGCACGAGCGATCCTTTCGTCTGCAAGGAATACTCCGGAGCCTACGGTGTCGATGGCAACGATGGAGATCCGTTCCACCACGAGCAGGAGGGGTTCTGGAAATGCTTGCAATCATTGATTAGGATGTTCGTGCGCTTCTTTTGCACGGCACCGGGCTGTGGCTGTTCACTGCGTCAGTATATGCGGGTTGTGAGGGGTTGTTAGGGGATGTGTGAGAGATCAAGAAAAGACACAAGTTGGAGCCTTGCCAAGTGTCATTCCTGTGACGCTGGCATGTTGAGAGCCCTGTTGATGAGCCGAGTTGGAAGTCTGACGCGCTGAGCGTGCACGGCTCATCTATGAACGGCTGAAACCGGCACCAGTGGAGGAACCTGCTCATGGTTTTGGCATAAAAGCAGCCGACTACTTCGGCCAGACGTGGCTTGCTTCACATACGTTCTGCAGCCCACGCCTGGCAGACTTGCTAGGCCCAGGATCGTCTGTTGTTCTGCTTTCAGGTTGAAAACCCATGGCTACAAGCGCCTTGGAACAGAACGCCACTTGGCCTTTCTCACAAGCGCGTGCTGAAGCCCTTCAATGCGGAGGCCCTGAGCATCCCTTGAGCGGAAACCAACTGACTCGACGGTGTACAATGTTCATCTTTTCAACAATATTCACAGCACATTGGGGTCAAGCTGACCTGGCCTCAGTATCACGATCGACTAGACTTGGCTTGGGGCACGCGGTGGTGCGGGATCGCTACGCCCATCGTCAAAGGTATGTACTCTGGAATCCACGGCACTGAGATCGAAGCCGACATCTTCATTGGTGTGGTGTGCCTGGACTGCCTTTTCAGAGTCGGCCTGAATCGGCTGTGAAGACCAATATACTTGTGCTTGCATCTCACATGTCCCTCTGGTGCTCAACCATCTCGGATGTCCCCTTCTTTGATGCTTGAATTTTTCTGATCTCGAAACAGTCGTTCAGTGTGGGCTGCAGGCTGCCAGTTCCCTCGCCAAGACTACACAAACCTTCAGTTTCGTACGGAGTGTTGAAAGGGTTGCTCAGACTTGTTTCGAAAGGACCTCACCCGAAATTGCTCGACGATACAAGGACTTTACTGCTCAACCTTGTCCCAGCAAATTCCAGCGGTCCAGCACTTCGAAGCATTCGGCAACAACTCACCGTAACTCACCATCAGATACCGAGCCCCAACATGACCAAATCGATCGATCGCTCATTCGTTCTCTCCGTTCTCTCCTGTTTCACGGCGAAGCCGTTTTGTTTTAACAGCTCGGCTGCTTAGGCCGAAAGCTGCAGGTTGCAACCCTGTAGGTCTGCAACGGAATCTGTGTTGCGGTTAGGTTCGCTCGTTCTTCGAGCCTATCGCCACTGGCAGCTCGGATCTCTTCCTTTGTGTTTGAAACGCCTGCTTGTGAAGCGACTTCTCTGTTGTAATCTTTTGTTTCTCTCCGTCGGCCCGTCTGCCCCCTTTGCTGTCTGTCCGTGAATCTCTCTTTTGCCTTTAGCAGCGTACCAGCCGAGACTTGAAGTCCGTCGCATGAATCGCATGAATCCGCAGATCGCAGTGCCGTCATCTCAAAATATCTCAAAGGCACTATGTAGAAGAGTCTTGCAACACAATATAGCACAACCGAAGCTACGACCCTCTGCGGCTTTTGGCAGCTGGACCTTTTCACACAAGTCAGTCTGGGCAAAGAAACAGTCATGCAGGAGAAATGTCTGCGTTTTTTTTGCTTGCACGGCAGACCGCCGGGGATTTGCACAGAGGGATCACAAAGAAGATGGTGGAGGTTGGAAAGCGGATGCGTTGAATTAGCTGGAAGGGGTCGTAAGGAAAACGCTACGGCATTACGGCTTTGGCCATAAGTGCCCACCTATAGATGGGTTCAGGGACGTAATAGTGCAGGTATTATCAGCGCCTGCGGCATCTTGTGCTGGCTACTGGGCATGTAGACTCGGTGCAGACGGCACGTGGCACCGTGTTCAAGTCACCCAACTGTGCCAGCCCAACTCAGGACAAGGCGCAAGTACGCGCACGAGGTACAAATGACAGGATCACCAACCAGCCTGTGAAAGGGCGCAAGCGACTTGGCTTTTGGAGCGAAGTAACTCTTTTGTATTATGGTCGGTACATTCCGGCACAGTTTGGTCCTCTATTGACGTGCTCAGTCTGTTGCACGATGACACACAAGATTGCCAAGGAGAAAGGGCGGAATTCGATTCGGAGAAATGGAGCGTGACTCTTTGCTGGCTCACGGTACAGCTTTCCTCCTGCACGATCGACTCATGCGCAGCTCTGACTACGATGTGGCCTATGTGTAGCTGAGCTTGAAAAGCCCGTTGTGAGACATGATCACGTGATTGCACGAGCACTAAGAATCTAATTTGAGCTCGCACCTACGACGAGGTGTCTCTGTTAGTGCTCGGCCGGCCGCGAGTGTAGCAAGCACCCCAGGTGTCCACGCTGCGGCTCTGTTCTTTCGCCCCAGGCGCACACAGGCCGGGTCGGATTCTGTAAGGGTGGTGCCTGCGGTGTGTGCATCCGCTTGCCTCGTCGAGGTAAGCCCGGAGAGTGGACGACAGGCGAGGCTGGAGACCCCTGGCAATGCGCGGCCTGCAGCCGCTCAGGATGCAACATGCAGCTAAAGTCGTTGCAACGTCAGGTCTCCTCTTTGACATGCGGATGGATCTGTCCGGCAAGATGCTTGTCTCGCGGCCGCGCTGAGGTCGGAAACATCAAAGGATTGTGAGACTTTGCTGCAGCTCTGATGTCCATCCTAGCTGCAACTGAACTTGTGCATGTTTGATAGAGTAGAAATATCTTCTGGCTCAGTAATGCAGTGTCATGCAGTGCTTCTCGACGATCGGATCGGGATTGCCAGTTCAACCTTTGAACTCAGGAAGTGCCATGCAATGCCCGTGCCATGGGTATTCAGGCAATCAGAGGTTAAGACGAGTGTGAGGTTCCGGTATCTTTCCGCATCTGTTCGTTGTTCTTGAGCCCGACAACAGGTATCTTGCTTGTGAACTTGCCGCGATGAATGCTGCTTGGAATGCAACGCGATTCGGAAGAGGTTTTGGTGCCGCGGATGCGGAACAGTCAGGCTATGTACTTGTGGATTCTTCAACAAATTAGCATGAAGCTGTGCAGCCACTTATTGTGTTCTTCAAGCGAGGGTCACAGGTTTTCTGTCCGACATGGCCAGTCAACCATTTAGAAATTGGCCGAGTGCGGCGGCGAGACGAGGTGCGCATGGACGTCAAAGTCACGGACCGCGGTCGGCAAGTCTCGCTGTCCTCCGGCCCTTGGAAGGGTGACCTTGCCGAGTAGGGCAACCAAGGCATATCTGTCCACATGCAAAGAGGCTGGAAGAGCAGGGATGCGATTCGCTGCCTGCCCTGGCCAGAGCAGTAGTCCATAGTTTCAGACCGCCGTCCAAAGAGCTTGACAGGCGGCCGTAGGATGAACCGTCTCGATTTTCAGGACGGCATGAGGCGTCAATCAAGCCGCTTGCAAATGCTCTGTCGTCCGGAACTTCGAGATGCGCTCACTTCGTTAATGAATGCAGCTACTTCCGTAAGACTGCGATTGGTTCAACACCAAAAGATCCAACGGGCTTGCGTTTAGTCTTCAGTGCTGTGCATTTCACGTATAAGCTGGCCACTCGTGGCCTTCCGGTGCATTCTCCAGGCTTTCGACAGGCAGAACAGTTGCTGTCGGCTTCCTACCACCCTGGGACGGCGGCGGCCTCAGAAATTCTTGGCATACCTCGCGGCCATGAGTCAAAAAGCCGGGCAGATGCTGCTACTCCAGTCAGCCTTGGGCTGCATGGTGATGCAAGACTTGACTTCACCTTGGGAGGGCCTTCCAGAGTCCGCATGGACTTGAGAATGCTCTGTTCGCTTTGTCCGTAATCGATCCAGAGAAGAGTCGGAGAGGGAGATGACTCCGGGCCAAGCGGCCTTCCTCGCAGGTGGACACCGGCGAGGACTTGAGGTCTGGAGCATCAGCCCTTTCGTTGCATTCAGCCTCCGATCCTGCATCGTCTGATGCCGAGCGGGTCCGTGGCCCTGCAACCAAGGAAAACAGGGTCATGTTCTCGCTGCAAGCTGCTGCAACTGTTCCTGTCGGCGGCGCACTTCGCATCACTGCAGCCTGTGCTCAAGGTGAGTAGTGCATCAGGTGGCAGTCTTTGTGGTCTTTGTTGGCTTGAGCGCGGGGCAGACACGCTGGTAGAGGCCGAAGCACCGAGGCACCATACCGCTTCACCTTCGCAGTGGATTGCCTCTTCTCCATTTCTCCCTCCGCTGGCATCCTGGCAGAGCTCCAGGGCGCTCAGATCTATGAGGACCTCGAAGAGTGGGGCTTCGGGGCCGGGCCGTGCTACTTGTAGCGTTGCGAGGACTTGCCTCGACTGCAGTCCTGCGTCGGCCTGCAAAACACGGCAAGGCGCGAGGCCGTTGCGCTTTGCCCTCGCATGCTCCAGACAGTGAGCTCATCTTCCGCTGAAGGCTCCTGTTGGCGGAGCGCATGGACGCTGCCATCCGTTGCTTTCCCGAGTTGGCCGAATGATTCGCCTAGCCTTATCCGCCTTGTCCTTTCTTTTGGACCGTTGGTTTCGTAGCAAAGCGCTTTGGACCTCTCACACTTCTAAAGCGCCCGCCGGCGAGCTTTATCTTGGCACGGTGCGACTTGAAGGCTACATCCCGTAAACGGCTCGCAAACGTCGTCTCGGCTTGAGAGAACGGGCCAAAAGGCATATTTTGGTTTCCCGGCCCTGTTGACCCCATGTGTGCATCTATTGCGATGGCTATAGCGCATCTATTACAATGGCGGCTATAGGCTCGGGCCATATCTTAAACCGGCTGGTTGACCTGATTTCAGGCAGCCTTGGGTTCCTTGCTCATCCTACAAATGTGAGAAATGTCAGCAAGCTTGGCTGCTTGCTTACTTGATAGGGTTAGCGCTTGGCTTCCTCAAATTGCACTTCAATCTCTCTCGACTTCTACTTGGTGCTTTAACTTGGTGATAGCTCCTGGCAAGTCCGTGACGGGTCTTTGTGCATGCTGTCTACCGTCGGTGCAAGCACTGGCAGTTGTTTGAGAGTGTGACGACGGTTGGGGCTTCTGCCTCCAGACCTCGCCCAGCAACCAGCAAAATGATGCCTTTCCGCATGGAGCAGCCCAGTCCACCCCTCTAAGCCCTAGACGAAGACCTCTACTCCATGGGATCTTGTTGCAGCTGCCGGTTGTGGGCATAGGCTTAGGTAGCTTAGGTTCTTTGGCTGCTGCGAACGTAGAAAGATCAGGTGTCCCTCACCTGTCACTTCCCACGACTTGCGAGGCTACTCGTTTCGGCTTGCTGTGGCCAACCCAGCTCTACCCCATCCCAGCAGCTTGAGCCGAGATGAGGACGATGTTGTGGTACGGAAGTGTCAGGCATTGGCGTGCCTCTTTATTGATCAAATGAGACAAGGGCATGCGCAAGGCTTTCGCTTGCTCCTGCAGCAAAGGTGATTGGCCATTTCCGCAAGACATCTGGCGCTTTGAGACTTTAGATGTACCTGTGCAGCACAAAGCCCTCCTTGCCTAGCCTGGAGGGTGGCGCGGCCTTGAAGGTATGATGATTTAGAGCTCGTTAGGGCAGTATCGTATGTAGCACTTCCTGTATACTCGGAGAGGTGGCAGTTGAGCTTCTGACTGTTAATGCCGCATTACGTATACTTGACGTCTTCCCCAAGGCACAAGGTGGCGTGCTGGACGTGGCGCAGGTGAAGGCACTTCCCAGCACCCTTGATCTTGATTTCTAGATTGTGACGGTCCATGGACGAGTGAGACCATACAACAGAAACATACATTGCCGGAGAACTGCATCGCTTCAGTGCATAAGGTGTGTTGACAAATGCATCATACCAGTCAAGATGGTTGAGTAAGAATGAGGTATGGAAGAGGCAGAGCATGTGGACACGAGTTACACGTCACATGTTGCGCGATTTTGTGTAGAGGTCGAGAAGGAGCGCAACTGGTGTCAATTAGTTGCTATGAATCAGACAGCAGATGAACCTGCAACAGGTCACCGAAACGAGTTGCTGTTGCAACAACATGGCTTTGACAAGATAATATCACGCAAGTGCATCAACACAGACGGCCCGCCCGCCTTTTGAAAAGCCTTTTCCGCAACCGTGCCAGATATGAGCAATAAACGGCAGGAAGGTGGAACGTCAACAAGACAGATGCAAGACGTGCTAATCGAGTTCAGGGAATGGAGATTCATCACGGCTCGGATCCTGTCATGCCCCCTTGCTCCCAACAACTCCTTCAACAAAGATCGGTGCGAGTATCTACGAAAAAAAGATCGGCGCAAGACATTTCCGAAAATGACCATGGCGGGTGCGTGGCTAGACACGCCGTGACAATACTTATGGCCGCACGGGACTATTGGTGCGCCAGAGACGAATCAACCCACACAGAGCAACTTGTTAGAGCTAGACTGCCAGCATCCCCCTTGCATCGCACTTGCTACGACCTTGAGACTGCTCATGCCTGAGTGCAGAGTGTCCCTTGTTTTGCCTTCTTGTCACGAGCGTGCCACGTTCTGGTTATTCTACTGATTTTTCTGCTCGTGTTGCTCCCTAGCCTCGCCAGACGCACGATAGTCGCCTGATGCTCTGTAGCTCTGCACGCTGACGTGATCCAGTCTTCTTGCACCCCTTTCCTATTGAACATGGTCGCTGGGCGCATGATCCCCAAAGCCGGCGAGCCAAGAGCGCCACGGAGCTCGGGGTATCTTGGTGTGCTCCGAAAGTTTCAAGCCGGGTAGCATGGCACGGGCCCCGCAGTCGTTGCTCACTCACTTAACTCCACTCCGCTCAATCGCTCTAGCAGAGGGCGAAGCTGGTGTAGTCGTGATATGTGAAATCTGGGTATGGCTTGCGGCAAGGCCTGAGAGACTACAGACTGTTCAGGCGTTCTTTCTCTGGACCTTCACTCGCTCCATCCTGGTACCGTTTGTACTTGGCGCTGCGGAACAAGGCCTACTGAGCTGAGCAGAGCCAGAAAGAGCTGCCTTCCGCATGGACGCCTAGGCATTCGGACGTATCCTTGACCGGACAGGTGTCGTGAGTGTGGAACTGGCTCCCTCGCTCACGCTTCCGCCTTTGGGCTCGGTGTTGCCTGGCTCAACCGCTTGTGTCCGTCACCTGTGGTACCAGTTTGCCTCATGAGGTTAATCACAGCTCCGCCTGGCTTCCAGCTCCTGGCAGAGCCCTGTGTAGGCAGGATTGCGGCAGGGCCGGAGGAGCCGTGCGGATTTTGCGTCGAAGGCTTCTTTCCAGACACCTTCGGCAGCGCCGAGGGCTTCAGCCCTCTTCCTGCGGGGACGACCTGCATGCGAGGAAGCGGGAAGCTTGAGCTCATCGTCTTTACTCTGACGTCTTTGACCTCTGCAGTCTCTGCAGGACCTGGAGGTCCCAACGTAGTGAAGTTGCAGCTGGACGACTTTTCCTACCTCGCTGCAGGGGTCTTCCTGCGTTTCAAGCTTGGCGTGCTTCAGCAAATATTGGCTAGGGACGCTCTGGCAGCAAAGCAAGTTCAGACGGCACTGAGGTGGTGAATCCTTCCCAGTACATGTCAGCAGCAGAAGACTGGTTCATCGCATCCGTTGAACAAACGGATTTAGGCCGGAACAGGGTCATCAGGGGTCATCGCAGGAGACTGCAAGATCGACTTCATGCCTGAGCACGAGACATCTTAGCAGCATCGAGTCTTGCATTGGGCAGGTGACTCTTACTTGGAGCAGAATCCTGCTGTTGCAGGCGAGGCCATCACCTGCCGACACACACACACAAGCTCCGAACCAAGTTCTCATGAGTGAAGCATGGCAAACACGCCAGGCTTCTCGGTGCACCTCCGGCTCGCCTCTTTTGAGCTTCTTCCCAGCTCAGCAAATGCGGCACGTGCAGCGACCGTCCGCATCATGGCCTTACATTCTGTGCCGAGCTTCGCACTGCCCTGCAGCTTTCAGAAGTTCATGAAGTCGGGTTGAAGTTCCTTCAGCAGCGCCAAGCATCTCACGAACGAATCTTGTGCAAGAGCCCTTCGGCAAGGTATCGAGTTCTCGTTACCAGAGGATCTTGGAGTCTTCCAGGTGGTCTCCAGCACCGAGGAAACACGCTTTTTCGCGGGGCTTCTTTTCTTCTCGGCCATCCTTGGGATCATCCGTGTCTGTGAAAGGAGAGCTTCATCGTCGTGGACATGCCGCCTTTCTTCGTTGCGCCAACGATTCTCGGAAGCACCAGCACAGATCCCATGGAGGGCGGGTCGGCCTTGGCATGGCTCCGCTGAACCCCCTTTTTTTTCTGAGGGAGGGAGCTGGAAATCAGACCGTGGAGCCGGTGGTGGCAGACTTTGAGGCACCTGGCCGGGGCCTGTCGCGGCCGTGCTGAGCTGCTTGGATCCCTTGACAAGTCCCGGGGCAGGCAGCAAACATCCTCCTGATGAAGCCTTGCGCATCGTTCACCCGCATCTCACCGGATGCCGACTTCTTCCCAACTCAGGCAGTCAGGAGAGCCTTGCAGGCCCCACTCTTGCATCTTGCATCCATCTTTCTGTGCAGGCAGATGCTTGCATTGCCCTTCCTGGGGCAAACAGCTTTCGTTTGCTCTTGACTGGGAATTTGGACGTAGGACCCCGTGCCTCGAGACACTGCATATTCATCATGCCGGGGTTAACCGGGTTAAGCGGTAAGCACGAAGAAAGGAAGCAATGCTTGAAGGGGACACGGGTCACTGTGGGATCTTGAAGGACCCAGCTACATCTTCGAAGTGGGGGTGTACAACCCTGCTCTTACAGCAGTTCGCCAGCATCAGATCTCCCAGGCAGGGGGCGCATCAGAGATCAGAGTCTGTGCTGTGTTTAGTCTGCTTCTTCATTGAGGCCAATTTCTGGCAGCTCCGCCTAGTGCGGCGAAGCGCGGGCCGTGATTCCACGGCGGCTGGCCGCGCGGCGACGGGCTACCAACTGCTGCCTGTGCTGCAGGACAGGCGCCTCAATGTTACGGATGACGATGTTTAGGTATTCCTTGGTTGAACCAACAGTGATTAGCAGCAGGATCAGGAGGTCTTAACGTGATTCGACGTGACGTCTTCTCCAGGTCGCCTGCACTGGCCTTGCATGCACCTATCCAGCACAAGACTTGCAGTGAGTTCCCCCCCAAAATCCAAGACCCAGCAACTGAGAAGGTACTCTACATGTAACATACAGTTTACTATGAACCGACGGTAGAGCTGTGCGAATTATCTCGAATGACTTGGTTTGTGTTCGCAGGCATCTCAAGCCTCGATGCTGTCAAAGCATCAAAAGCACGGCGATGCTGTTTCCGCGTGACACATGCATGAACGGCCAGGGAGAGGCTATTCCCAATTAGTAGTGCAAAGAGGCGGAGTTGGAGCCACGTTCATGATTCTCCGGGGTTTTGCTGCTGGTTGTTGGTGCATGAGCCCGCTGCCATGCAGGACTGTACTATCACCGTCGCTTGCCAGCAACTGCCTCCAACAGACTCAGCCCGGCAGCAGCACAGGTTTTCTTCAAGTTCAGGTTTAAAGCATCTGCTTGGCTCTGAAGGCGGCAACGAGTCCCATCCCAGTGGGCTTCGACACCACCGTGGAGGTGGCTTTCCGCGCCTCGCTGCAATCCTGAAGACTCTGGCACCTTGGTGTCATTCGTGTGCTGCTTGAGGCCCAGTCTCGCCATTAAGTGCAGCCAGCGGCGATCGCATTGAGGTGCGACCACCTGCCAGAACCCCGGACATGTGGCATGCGTCCTTGTACTGATCGCGCTGGCGGGTGTTTCTCGTGGATCTCAAGCTTTAGGCTTCTCTGCAACCGGCGCTTCCGTGCACGATTTCAGTGGATGGCGCGCCAGCTCCGAGACGTGCAACAGTCGTTTGAGTTGATTTCACCGCTTTTTCAATTCAAACAAAAGAGCTTAAGGCATCATGTAGTTGTTGGGAGCAGAAGGCTTCTGCTTGTATTGTGTCCTTCCCTCGCAGCTGCAGGTCTCGGTCAGTTGCTTCGTAGAGAACAGCAGCCTGGTTCTGCGTTGCTCGGCCAGGTTGAAGAAGTCGGCAGTTTCGGCTTTGAGACTTCCTATCGCTGTCTTGCAAAAATCCGAAAGACGGTGCTTGAAGACCTCGGCATGTCTGCGCGCAGCGTTGTGACGGTGCAGTGCTTGCCCAGGGTTCGAGAGCAGCGCAATCGTGCCATGACCTCGGTGAATCCTGGCAGCTGCTGAACTTCTGAAGGCATTGGACCCGTTTTGAGGTTGGGAGACAGCCAGGTGCTCGCTGGGATGTCTGTGAACTCTGGTGGAATCCCGCAGCTTGGTCCTGAAATCCATCTGTGTGTTTGCAACCTGCCCGGAACGTGAAGGCTGCCCAATGCAGGGGCCGAACACTGTGTTCTCAAGCAGCACAGAGCAGTTGTAACTTGCCTTTAGAACGCGGCTCAGGTTGACGGCCACTAGTGAGCAGAACCGCTGGGCAGCGCCCTGTCTTCAACCCTCAGCCCCGGAGTACTCCTGAGACGAAGTAGTTCGCGTCCAGGAGCGCAGAGCCTCGTTTCCTGTTATCGAAGCTTGAGCAGCCGGGCTTCCTTACGTTGGGAAGCCGTCGCTGGCTTTAGCTCACTTTGCTGTGAATGATACTCGTAGTCCATTGCAACGGGAGCCGGAACCGAAGCTATAGCTGCAGGTCGTGACCCAGAATGCCGAAAACAAGACATGGGACGAAGCACCAGACGTCCCAGGCAAGCCTTTTTGCAAGATGCTTAATAGACTGGATGTCTGCATTGTCTGCAATGCTGCTTTTGGCTTTGATGCCAGCGCTGCCAAAGCATTAGTATCGTTGCGTCGTTGCAATTTCGGTGTTCGAGTGAACATACGCCTGAGCCGCAGAGGCTTCACGATTTTCCCACGCTTGGAGGATGCACGGGTCAATCCGAAGGCTGGACGTTGCAGGTGCATGCAGTGTTTATCGAGTTTCTCGCGAGACTTGACAGCTGCTCGGTGCTGGCGCGCTCCAGGACGTCTCCTCGATGTCGTTCGCGAACCATGCGGAGCTGCTTGGTTGCAAACTTCTGCAGACAGGGTTTCTGAGGCGTGTCCGTCCAGTGTTGCACGATTGCGTGAGTAGCTACTGCTACAGAGCCCGGCTTGTGCGACATGGGTGGGCATTGGAAGGTTTTCGTTCGCATCCCCCGTGGCCATCCCTTCAGGGTCTTCTGCCCGTGTTGTGGCCCAGCTCTGAGACTTCGTGTTCGCGCTCAAGCTCCACTGGGCTATATTTGGTTCGGAGCTGGCACACTCGAGGCACCTGGCGGCTTTACCCTCTTCGCCGCGACTTTCGCCGCAGAATTCGCTGCAGAAGCAGTGGCAGTCGCCGAGGTGGTTCAGACCGGCGGAAGCAGCAGCAGCGAAAGTCCAACACATTCGATAGGGTGCACTCCAAAGCCGAAACCTGCAGGCGGAGGTGATTGTCTGGATTCTGGCCGCCATCTCTCCTTCACAGCAACTCTCCTTTCGTCTCACAGTCGCTTGGCTATCAGGTTTCTGGACCCACATCCCTGCTCGGCTCTGCATTTCGCTTCTTTCTCGGCTGAGGTGGGAAATCCCGCAGTCAGTCCGCCGCAGAAGCTCGACCATGGAAGGAGCAGTGTCTTCCCTGGATGCCTGGGAGTCAGCGTATGTCAGCGTTGTACTGCCGGCGGACTTACAACGGCCGAATCCTATAAAAGCCTGTACGGCGTTGAAGCAGCAAAGAAAAAGGGGACAAATAGGAAGGAAAATAGAATCAACAATTGGACGTCGCCCTGATGCCACTTTCTATTTATGTTTGATATTTTGTAAATCTTGTTCTATTTGGGTTTATATATTTTCACGTATTTTATTTCTATTTTTCTCCTATTTTATTTCTATTTTTGAAATCTCCTGCCGGGACAGTATTTGCCTTATATAGGAAATCTATGTAAAGTAAAATAATGGAAATAAGATAGAGAAAAATAGGAAACAAACACAAATAATAGAAATTAAATAGATAAAAAAGAGACACCGAAATGGAACGAACATAGAAAGTGGTGTTGAGCACCGGTTCCGTTCTTGTGCCATTTTCCTTCTATTTTTTGCTGATTTTGCATTCTATTTTGAGTTCATTTTTTGTGTTTCATTAGTTTTTAGCACATTCCAGGCGTATATAGGAAGTCAGCCTCACAACTCTAGTTTTATCCGCCCACGATGCGCTTCAGACAGAAACTTCCAGCCGTCCAGCACACAGCCCCAGCACAACGATTAGTAGTGAGTGTGGACCATGCAGATTTATCTCACTCCCGCAGCCTTGCTGAGGAATCAATGGACGAGACTTGGCTACAAACAGCAAGTCCGTAAGAGCTGAGTGATATCGCAGGGAGGATCTGCGCAGCATGCTGGTCTCAAGGCTCGAAGTCCAGAGTCCTCTCAATGACACCCTGGCTCTCGACCGAGACATACCAGGCAGCCATGGTTGTCTGAATCGTAGCGTGTTGGTTGGTGAGCGGGTGCCTGCAGTTTGGACGCGCAGGCTTCGTGGTTCAGTCAAGCTTCAACTCCTCCTTCATCGACACCTAGCCGCAAGATTTCTTTTCGATGAGCTCGTTCCGTTGGATCGCCGGCTTCCGTTGAAGATGCGATGACATGTACTTAACCATCTGCGGCGGCTTTCAGATTCAGAGAAGACATTGCGCATGCGCGATGCCACTGGAGCTCAGGAAGCCGATGTGAACGAGCCTCTCGCCGCTGTGCCACAAACGGAGACAAGTGGAGTACACAGTACGAGAGGCGTTTGTGTCAGGCGGAGAACTACGTCCACATTACTCTGGCAGTGACCCAGCCGCTCTTTGCCGACAGCTTCGGCTGCCCGGTTGCAACGAATGCCGAAGCTTGCAAGGGGTGCCTTGAGTGTGCATATCCAAGGACAGAGCCAGCAGTGTGCGTCCAGCGACAAGCTCTGCGTCTATGCGACGTGGCTTGAGGCACGCAGCACTACTATGCAACCTCTCAGACGGTGTTCTGCGAATCCGAAGTGCTGCGGTGCCACCGCAGGTGGTAGCTCCGGAGGGCTTCGTCTTTGCAGCGACCTGTGGCCGCTGGGCGCCAGTAATTCCGCTTTGATCCCGGATGATCCCGGAGGGCTCGGGCCGCGGTTGAATTCGCGAGGCTTTTGGGTCCTCCAGCGCGTCGGCTCGGCGCACCGAGGGCTGCCGCCAGGCGCATCACAACTCGGGGCCTTCGGGGCAAGCGTTCCCGTTCTGTGCCCTGGAGGCAGCCTGTGCCTTGCAGACCCAGACCATTCGAACATTGCAAGGCAGCGCTCTACAATTGAGTCTCAGTGACTTTTCAGACAGTCAGAACATCTTCATCGTTTTGTGAGCTTCAGGGTTTTCTCCGTGAGTCGCCCTTGTTTGAAGGAGGCTTGTCAAAGCAAAAGGCCTTCTACATCGTGTGTTTGGTGCACTGCCTGCTTCTGCCAGGGTGCGGCTTTCTTTAACGTTGGAGGCCTTCACCCTCTACGAGTTCACTCTGCAGGCATGTCGAACCTGATTTCACAAGAGAGTAAGCGAAATAACAAGCCAAGATTCTGGGAGCCATCGAATCTTGCAGGCTCCCATCGAAGCCGAAGATTCCGTCTGAGTGCAGTCAGACTCCGATTGTTCAGGTTCGCAACGCCCTCTCCGTGCCTCTCCACAATGTCTGGGAGTTGAGGGCCGTACAGGCAGCTCTCTGAAGCACTTGTGTATGGCCACGATGGAAGTTCCAGGATGGCATCGTCCGCGAACGTGACGCAAATGTGGAAGGCCCGGAGACGAACGGAACTGCTTTGGAGCAAGTAGCCGAAGTAGTCCTGCTCAGCCGTGAAGTGGAGACCACACCGTGCCAGCATGTGCGAGCCAAGAAAGGTTTCGCCCTTCGCCAACTCCGTACCGTGCGTGTCACGCCGGTCACAACACTGGCAGGCTGGCGATATGTCACGATTCGGAAACTCAATCTACAAACTGCTTGTCTACTACAGGTGCAGTGGATAACGCGGTGACAGCCTTGCTCCGTTCAGAGCGTCCGATCCCACCGAGAGCGACAGAGCCTCGTCATATTTTTTGTTTCTGTGCTGCAGCAGAACTCTGCACATGCCTTCTCTATCATGGCCGTGGGCAGCCAGCCCAGGTGACCATGGCTGCGCCGCTGGGTTCCTTGTCCTACGTGCTTGCAGTTGGGATTGCTTTCGGACAAGCAACATCTGCGAGTAAATGCGAACTCGAAGGCTATTCCCTGTGCAGCCCGGTGCAACCGGCACCTCGCGCTGTTGACGCGAAATTCTGTCTAGCTTGTATCTAGCACAGTCTCTGAAGGGCTAGGCTCTTACTTGTTGTTTGTGTCGTAGCGTAGTGCATGCAGATTTAAATGAATCTCACGCGTTGGCTCTCCGCTTACAGAGCTCTGTTTGCAAAACGTGTCCTCGAAGCGACATGGTTGCCCAGCGAGGCTTCATCTTCGATGCATCCGAGGCGTCTCAGCGACAGAACGCCGCTGTTTGGATGCAAAACAGAACTGACCTGGCCAGGTCTCCAGTTCATTCCAACAGGAAAAAGCTCCGCTTGTAATGAACGACGTCACCTCGGAGGCCCGCAGCACGTCCCGTGGCCCCAGTGGCCCCAGTGTCCTTTCCTACGGTTCTACAGGATGGAACCGAGCCTTCGGGAGCAACAATCCGTTTCTACGTGAGTGGCCTGGCTAATGTCCCAAGTGCTTGCATTCTCGGAGAAGCTCCTTGGACTGTCTTTTCATGCACTGCGGTCCGCGCGAAGGTCCACAAGACTATGTGCAACCAAACACCTACTTCTTCGTAAGTGCGCGCATCCGGAATCCTTCAGCTACCCCGAGCTCCAACTATTGGCCGCTCGGTCTGACCTAGAATGGGCTGATGGAGAAGTGCTGCAAGAGCCTGCATGTTGGGCGCTCTGCGATGTTTACGATGTGTGCCGAGGTACTTCTACATCCAGACCCTGGCACAGCACGGTAAGAGTCCTGTTTTCGGAACGGCAACCTCAAAAGCTTTGCGAGTCCCAAGCATGCGCGGGCTCCGAACGTTTCGGTTTGCTTGAAACGTTTCGGTTTGCTTGGAGCAGGTTCCTTATCGGCCATCGGCCCGGAGGGTGAATGTCCCCTGAACATGCTGAGGAGCCAGTTCATGGAGCACATTGATCTGCGCAAGTTTCTTCCTGGCTTCGTGATGTCGTACCAGATGCCCTACTTCCAGGCGAACGGCGTGTGATTTTGTGCTTTTTGGTTGAGGGGTTGCTGAGAAGGGATTCTCGCGTTTTTTCCGCTCTGGATCGTCATTCGGGAATGTGCTGACACAGCATCCGCCATTACTTCAGACTGTATGTGGCCATGAACTAGTCGCTGCATGCTGCATCCTGCCAGGTATATCCCAACTCTATACCCTGGAATCTGGGGACCGCCAATGATATTTCGCCGCTTGGCTGTTTAGCGGGTCATTGTAATGGCTCGTCCACTTCCATGCTCAAACCATTGCCAACATGGTCGAAGCAGTCGCATAATTTGTAGGTCTTGGTCGCAATTGTTGCAGTATCGGAAAGCGTGACCTTGGGCACATTCCGTCTTCGTGCCTGGTTCAACCTGATGTGGATGCTGCAAGGCTACTATTTGTGACTTCGTCCGTGATCTTTATGGAAAGCTCGGATGCTCTTCCAGGCAGCCTGCAACAAGTCCTTGTCGTTCTGTGCCGGCAGCTCCCTATTGTCGCACTCGCACGAAGGGACCACGATTCTTGGTGGCGAGCTTCCTGAGATCCAGGTGCGCCCAGCCGAAAAGGGTGCGTGACGGGGCTACCTCTGCAGGGCCCCGCTTCAGCTTTGCTGCCCGGGTTGCTGCCAGGCTGCCTCATGGCAGCTGTTGCTCGTGGCGCCCAGCGGCTTCAGCTTCCCGACACGCGGCCCTTTTTCGGAATCGTACCTAGCCTGCAGAAACTTGAGATTTTTCGGTATCTAAATTATCTCGATCCAACAGTGGCCTGTCACTAGCCACCACTCAGCCTCAACCCTTCCTTGGGTCCGTGTGTCTGGAACATGCCAGCTGAATTGCAAATCGGCTTTTAGACTGCAGAGCGGCACGGGAAGCTTGCGCTTGCCGGTCCAGTTGTCCTTCTTCCAGAGTCTCTGACCGGCAGCGATGGCTGCGAATGTGATCTGCTGCAAGTTGGCGGGGTCATGAAGTTTCGGACAGATTTCACGAGGGTGGTAGAGGCTTGATTGGTGCACGGCAAAGTAGGAAGCTGTCCCCAAGCAGCCTTGGGATCCCTGCGGTGCAGGTGCTCTGGCTTCCAACGCTGGGGTGGCAAGGCAACGCGTGGCAAAGTACAATGTGTTCTTGCAGTCGGCGCATTGCCACGTTGTCGAAGCAGGAGTCCTATGACCAGCTCCCGAACACCCAGGGCACCCTTCGTTGCACAGTGCGCAATGCACGCACTGTAGCGCTACAGCTGCAGTTTGAGTTGCAGAGCGCAAGCCACAGGGCCGGCAAGCTGGTGCTTCCATGCACATGCCAGACGACATTGTTCTGGATCTGCAAAGCCATCCTTCAGCCCAGTGTTGTCGTTGTCTCTGCCTGGTGTCCACCAAAGCCTTGCTGAGCAAGGTGCTTGACGTCCCGGCGACGTATGTGAACGAAACTAGATACTCCTTCCGATTGAATGTGACCGTGGCAGATCAGCAGGAGCCGGGCTCAGGAGTGTCTGTTGCTCTTCGCGTTCCACGTTTATTCCATCATTCGAGCCAATCGGTAATTGCCTGACCCTGCGGCTTGCCCCTCCAGATCACCCGTTGCAACAGCGGCCCCATACACAATTCTGTGCCCGGAGGAGGATGTGGCCCTCCAGCAGCCATGGACCCTGACTGTGCTGGACAGTGTGTCACTTTTTCTGCTCTGGTCTGCTTTTTGCAGAAGACGTTTAGATGCTTTCTTGCAGGAAAGTGGCCAGATCTTGCATACTGGGGAGAGCCCGAGCCCCTTGCTGGGAGTTTTCTATGAGGCCAGACCTGCCATGTTCATATGAAATCACGACTCGCGGACAATTCCGAGAGGCGCAGTGGTTTTGGGCACCAGGCTCGCTTGTCGGCCAGAGCACGTGATGGATTGAAGCGCAGGACTGCTGAAAGCAATGCCTTGCAGCATTCTCCGCAGCTGCTTCGGCCTAGGACCTGAGATGCTACCAGTACTGGAAGGAGCGGATGAGCCACCACGACTCGTTGCTGAATGAGCGCGGATGCTGCGATTCTTCACGGACTTCCTTCGACGTTCGGCTGGTGCGACCACTCTTTGGTGCTCGTGGATACTGCGATTCTGGCCCCTCGGATGAAGGAGACGAAGGAAGCCACCTCGTGCTGGGCATTCGACTGCAAGTCTGCTCAACGCTTTTTCTAAGAGGCCTCTCCACATGCTTTGCACATGCCGTGGCTTGGAATCGGGAACTCTTGCCTACACCTACTGCCTACGAGTAGACACAGAGAGGCGATTCCTTCGTGGCGGAATGCACCTGCATGACCAGAACAGCTGCGAGCGCCCTGGTTATCACTCGACCAGGACCTTGCTGTTTCAGCTGCCTATGTCGAACACTAAGCTTACTTCGGCTGCTACGACGACGACTACTACAAACACGACAGACTACGGCTGCGAAAGAGACTGCGACTGCGACTGCGACTGCGACTGCGACTGCGACTGCGACTGCGACTGCGACTGCGACTGCGACTGCGACTGCGACGACGACGACGACTACTACTGCTACGATGACGACTGCGAGGACTGCGACACTTGACGACCGACGAATGCTGCTGCCATTACTAGTGCTACTATGACGACGACGACAACTGCTGCTTCTACTAACGAGTACGACGACGATAGCGATGACGACTACTAGTAATGATGCTATGACGGTGCTGCGTGAACACTACAGCAGCCGGCGTTTGTTGCCAGTTCGTGTGAGCATGTTCAGCTGAAGCTTCGCAGATATGAGTCAAGCTAGGAGCCGAGTCTGCTAATGTGCTTTGCAGTGTGAGCATCCTCGAGCAGGACATCACCTTGGCACTGCTGGGTGCTAAATCTACAGCATGCCGCCAGGTGGGCAGCGATGGGAACGATAGACAAACAGAACGGAGACTTGACTGTCTTCCTCGTTGCTCTGTATCCCTGCAGCAGTCAAGTAACACACTTGGTGCGCTACGGTAACACGCAACCATATGGTGCGCAGGGCAAGTAACGGCCCGGACCATCCTCTTTCCCTCGACGGCTTGCCCAGTCTGCTTGGCCCTGCCCATGATCACAGAATCAGAAGTAGTTGCTAGAAGCGGCTGTTGGTAGCATAAAACTTTCGGCAATACACCAGCGTTTGGCATGGTATACTATTTTGCTGTAGCCCGCGGGACTTTGTGAACAACATGGCTTGGCCACATGAGTCATGTCTCAACATGAAGAAACTCAGGAAGCGCTCATAGGTAAGGCACAGCAAAAGCAGACGACTCAAGGTTGGGCTAGCCGATTCGGGTTTGGGTTGCTGTTAAGTCTTCTCGTCCATCGGGACATGCTCCCAGCTTTGCTTCTCCCTGTAGGTTGCGAGAAATCAGCCATGGGCAAAGCTCGGTAGTCCGGCCATCATGAAGTTCAAGCAAGGGCATGCAGAGTCTCGAGACCAAGAGATTCTCATCATCTTGCCAGAAGCACGGCTTGGCCAGCAACCGGGGCGACAGCGCCCAGGACCCCAGGTTTATTGTCAGCTTGGTGGTGTCCTCTGTCTCCGAGTTCATGCACCAAGAAGTCCGGAGATGTCGGGGGCAGAGTCCGGCCCGCAACTCCCACAAGTGCCCTGCGGCCGCCAAATTAGAGCTTACACCTTGTGACGGCTACTGAGTGGCTGCTTGGCATGTTCGCGGCAGACACAACTTCAAAGCATGGTTTCAGGGGGCTGACCATTGAAGAGTCCAGGTATGTCTGAACCGGGCGACGTATACTACTGTTTCAGCCGGGCCGCAAGTCATAAAGCAGGTTCTGTCAACTGAAGGATATCTCTGCTGCGAAGCAACTGTCGCACACCTGTCAAGTATCCTTTGCTGATCCTGAACAGCACAGGCCCGATCTCTTAGGAAGTACCTGTCGAATGTGGCCATGCTTTCACTCAGAGACGGCTGTGTGCCTTCACTGGTTGGCCGACGAGTGAAAGTCTCTCTTGTATAGCTGTTGGGTCGTAGCTGTCTCAAGCGCAACTGTGTGTTTCCCTCAAGCGCTAGGACGGTTGCGCAGGCCGGGGCAGTGTCTCATGCACTGTCGCAATGAGTGCTTGGCAGTCCGTGCACTGCATGCATCTTCACAGGCATGAAGCTTTCGCTTGCACAATCTCTATGATGGACCGCCGTGATCTTGCATTAGCAGCACAGCTAGCTGGGTGTCTGATCTTTTTTCCGATGGGCATGATATACTTCTGGGGCACATTGGGTAGAGGACGATAGGATGCCCATCTGAGACAGTCAGCAGTGATGGGATGTCAGCTCCTTCTAGTTCCACACAAGATCTGCCTGAGCCATGACCAGTCTTCGCCCCATGATGGTGGAAGACTTGCTTCATTTCAATGCAGCTGAGCTGTTGTTGTCAGGCATGTTGGCAGTAATGTCATGCAAGTTGTAAGCGGTGGCACCGAAATGGCTCTCGCAGTCTGTGCTAGAAGTGTCCTGCAATGTCCTGAAGGAGTAACAGCAAAGTTTAGAGGACATGGATCGGTCGGCGTGTTTGTGTGTGCGGTTGTAGGGACGGAAATTTTAACTAGGGCTTCTCTCCTATCTTTGTGGTTCCGGGACATCGCTGACTCCGGGTCCTCCTCGTCCGTGTAACATTGTTGTTCGGATGAACACCGTTTTCTTTGTGATCGACAAGTTCGAAAGGGTATTTGGGCACCGTTGAAACTTCGCTAGACAGTCTAGATGAAAAGTGCGGACATGCACATCTTCCGGCTTGCTGCTGAGGCGGTAAATCTAGATACTTGGACGGAGACATTCAACATGAACTTCTATTTCAGCTACCTTACGTGCTGGCCGGAATGCTGCGCCGTTGCGGAAGCCATTGATGGCAGCATCGCTGGATACATTATTGGCAAGGTCGAGGGTTCGGGCCATGAGTTGCTTGGCTCATATCTGCAATACGACCGAGTTAGCTGCAACGGTTTGGGAGACTGGAAGGTACCGGAAGGGGTTGTGCTGAGGTGGCACGGCCACGTCTCGGCCATCTCTGTCGCGCCAGAGTTCCGGCGGACCGGCGATGCTCGACTTCAGTGACAGCACAGAATCACAATTTCAAGCATGCTTCGCCGCAGCCTGTGGAAGGCATGTAGTCCGTGCCTCGACTGAGGTAGCCAACAGGTTAATGGAATACCTGGAAGAGGCCGAGTATGGAACAGGAAACCTAGATTTTAGCGGGATAGCGATCAAAAAGGTCGACTAGGACTAAGACCATGCAAACTTCGTGGTCCGATCTTGAGAGGTTTGTGGACTCGGGAACCCGGACACGGCGGTAGGGTCGTGTCTCACTGCGAGAACATGGTGACAGGTGAGTGAAAAGGTGCACGACTGCTATTTTGTCGACCTTTTCGTGCGGCCTACAAACACTGCCGCGATCAAGTTCTACGAGCCTCGGTTGCCTGCGCAGAGCAAGAGGGCTTGTAATCCAGCTAGTTGACAAGTACAGCGAAGTCCTGCAGCCTTTGGCCAGCACAGCAGCAGAGAGTTTTGTCATCGAGAGGATTTCTCAAGTGCCCGAGAAGAGATGTGAGCGCGTGTCATGAGACTGTGATTGCAGGAAGGACTGGGGTACGTCGTTTATCGAACCGTGACGGGTTACTACTCTGGCGATGAGGACTCGCAAGCTTGGGGGTTGCACGTCGCTGCAATGCAAGTCCCTTGGGGTTCATCACTTGGACGCAGGATGCGTATGACATGAGAAAACCTCTACCGCGAGTGCCTGGGACAAGATTTCAGGATGTGCACCCTGCAGTGCCGCTGGAGCTACGTTCTCGGCCCCTAAGGATGTCAATCGCAAGTCGGTTGCGAACGCCGGCTTTCGGATTTCCCCCGAAGCCCTCCATGCCAGCACGAGTTGACCAAGGCGTTCTGTCTCAGAGTGTGTCATGGACAGGCTCGAACAGCCAGAGGCGTTTGGACACTGCCCGCTTAGCTCCAAAAAGTCTGCAGCAGCTTGCTAGGGACGCCCGATGACGCCAGCACCCACTCTGGAATTGCTGTAGGCCATGTCTGGCTCTTGGTCAACCGAGTAGTATAAGAGAATGCAGTTGGCTTCTACAGGCATGATCCTCATGCACAGACGCTATTGTAGCATATTGTAGCCAAAGGTCCCTGGCGCGCCACAGGAGAAATCGACTCTAGCGCCACACTCTTTTCCTGATGCTTTTGGGTGTTGCACCCCCCCCCCCCGCATTCGACTTTGAGCACTCCGTATGCGTGGCAATGACAGATGGACTGTAAAAGCAGCATGTAGCGACTGCATGGCTGATGTTGGCGAAATTGCTTTGCCGCCCACGCCCACCAAAGCTGGTGACCTGCAGCTTGCAAGAAAAACAGGGGTTCACAAAGAAATACTCCTTGTGAACAAGTGGTTGGGACGGTTCCGGTCCACCGCATGCAGGGCTCCTCGTTGACATGCCCAGGTCCTTCCAGCGATTCTCCCGGTTTAATCGGGATGCATCAGCCGCTCAGCATCGAAGATCTTGGACGAATCGTTGATGCCATCTGATACGGCCTGAGGCTTGGATCGCGGTTGCTGATGTGGCGCTCTGGGTTTCCGCGCAATGCGCTGCAGGGCTTCGGGGGGAAGGACTGTGCCATGGGCAACGCGCACACAGTGCAGCCGGTTGAGTCTCCTCCGGTCCTCTCGTGCACACGTTGAAACTGCCTCGCTGCTTCGTTTGGTGATTTGGCCGTTTCCTAGTCCTAGTGAAGCCTGGGTGGGATGCCTGCAAGCTAGATCGCCCAAAATGCTCACTGAAAGCACCTGCTCAGACAGCTGACGTTCGCAAAACTGATCTTCTGCCGCATTCGATCAACTCCCTCGTCGCACGCAGCATCAGGTGTTGCAGCGTTTTGCACAGCGCTATGCTCACCTTTCCCCCATGCTCCGAGTGATTCGACATGCTGCTATCAACAGAGCTTGGCGCGATGAAGGAGGGACTTCAACGAGGGCTGAAGAGAAGGAACTATGACTGTGTTTGCATAGACAGACCCGTTAGATCCACAGCTTGCCTCGCAATTGCTGCGAAATCCGGCACCACTTTGCTGAACAGCTGCCCAGCAGACCCGCTAGATGCATTTGATTGCCGCCGCAGCACATTCAGGAGCCGGCTCTATCATCAATTGCTGGAGCTGCGGGTGCTCGTCGGGGGAGGCCTTTCGGAAGCAGAATATGACTCCTAGACGAGCAGGACGACAGAGTCCTGCTGCAGGGCATGCTCGGCGTGGAATTGACAGTCCCTGCAGCCTCTGTCTCTGCCCGCCACCTCCTTCCCGCCACAATAGCCATGCAAGGACCCATGTTAGCAGGGTTGAGTGAGGCATGTCCAGTGGTGCTCACCGCTTTACATTCATGTCCTGGTTGAAATTTAAGCTGTACCAGTGCTGCAGAGGTATGCAGTGTAGGGCCTGTTTCTCAAGCGCGTCGCTAAGGAAGTCTACTATCTAAGCATCCTGGCTCAACGGAGATGCTGATGAATGAACTGCGCGCTCTCAGAAAGATTTCCGTCACCTGCACATCTCTTTGAAGCCTTGGCGAACCAGTCATCAAGTTTGGCAGAGGCATGATCTGGCATCGAACGCTGGCAGCGATCTTTCCAGAGACAGGCCGGCCAGTCTAAGTCACCAGATCCCAGGCGCCTATAAAGGGAGAAGTGAGGATGTATGGGCTCCAGCCTCTGTTCGGGTGCAGAGCCTACAAAACGACAGGTGGTGCAACCACCGTGCATGGATCCGCCGCTAAGTTGGGTAAGGAGGTTGGAGAAATTCTGGACTTCCGCGGTAGACTCAGAAGATCGGGACAAGCTTTCGACAGAAGCAACTCACGGTAGGAGTGCTTGGAACTCCAAACCTGCCATTGTGATGGGGTGTGTGCGGGGAATCTGTCGAGCATTAGCCCTCTGTGTGGCACTCCACTTGGCGCGCGCATGTGGCTGGAGAGGACTGCGGCTCTTGGGCACGGACCTTTCCGAGCAGAAGATCGCGACTGCATGCAAGGGAGAGTATCCCTGGTACTCATTGAAGGTCCCTTGCAGGGGTCCTTTGCGATTTCTCTTCGCATCTGTTGCCGGCCAGGGCCTGCCGCTGGACTGGTGTGAGTCTTGGAGGCAAGAATTTCAGGTAGTTTTACAGTTAGTTCTCGACCTGACGCATCTAAGGAGCAATTCTTCGACACTCGCCTTCCTTGGCCGATGTGGTTTAGAGCGGTGTGTCTATATGTATATATGATGGAGCTGATAAGTCTCTGGGTTTGGCGTTTGCGAAATCGGTAACAGGACGATGTGAAGGAGGGCCAGGTAGATCTCGCTAGAGGAACCGTTTTAAATGAAACTTGCCTATGCCAAAAAAATATATGCCCGTATACAGGCCTGAGAATCGACACGCACGGTTCCTGACAAAGCCCCCCTTGTGGCTCGGATTGCGACTCGAGGGTGCCTTAACGATGGATCTTTCCAGGATTCTCCTGCCACTTCGACTCGAGGCCAGCATCAAGAAACCTTTGCATGCAGAATGTGTTTCTTACGCATGCGCAGACGGAGCAGTTGGCGCGCTTGTGGGATCTTGTGGGACCTGTGAGGGCTCCGGCCTCGGGCGACGGCGCGCCTGCAAGCAGCGCGAGCCTTCGCCAGTCAGGCAAACCTTTCACTTCGTTTTGCTGGGAGCGCTTTGGAAACCTTCAAGTCAGGGTGCCGAAGCCCTCTACAGAGTCAAGGACAAGAGTGACAGCCTGGGACCCGGTCTTGAAGCCGCAATTCGCAGCTGGGCTGCGCTGTTCTCAGGTGAGCTGCGCGCAGATGTGGAGTTCCTGTGCCAGGACGCGGCCGAGAAGCCAACGTTGGACATCGAATAGTATTGCTTGTCTGCGCCCTTGTTGCTCAGACAGTTGCCGCACGAGTAGCCCATCGTGCGCATTTTTATAATTTGCTCATGCCGGCTTTTGCAAGGCCTGTGATTGCAAGATGAGCAAGCGAGTTGCCACAGGACGTAACCGAAGAAATGCCAGAGGGCCCTTTCGACGTCATCCTCTCAAGATATGCTGCATCACAGTTGCACTACGGGACTACTGGTAGGCAGATGCTATCGACTTTGGTGGATTCGGCATGCAGCCAATCCTGCTCGAGCGTCTGGACTATGCGCTTAGTCCCGCTTAGTAGTCGCTTTCTGTGCTTACATATCCGAGGTTTGCCTGTATCTGCAGGGCGAACAGCGAGCTCACGTCCTGGTGCAGATGGTCGAAAGGCGCACCGGGGTGAGACCAATCCAACTCCGGAATTGTTCTTGGCTCCTGTGCTTCCATGGTACTGTCCAGCATGTGCCTAGGCAGTTGTAACTGAGGCTACTCAGCAGACACTTTCTGTGACGGCAGGCTTCGCCCGGGAGGTTTCCTGGTGATTGGGGGCAAGGACTTCGCAGCCGGCCCTTCCTTGCTTTCTGCAGAAAGTCGCAGAGAGGACCATTTGCCGAATGGCTTCTGCGAGAAGAACGGTCTCATCGAGGTGGATTACCGGGCTGAGGAGATTGGCCTCGGCGACGTGAGGCGCCAGCCACCTCCCCCGCCGATTCGCCTAGAGGACGATGCCTTATGGTTTTTACCTCCTTTCATTGAGAGGTGCATTTTTCAGAAGTCTGGCGGTGCTGCGCTCGACTCTAAAGCGGCAGACAGGCGAGGAAGGGCTCCGAACCCCAGCAGCAAGATGTCACCCGACCTCCAATCCAGTCGCAAGACGCCGCTGCCCAGCAAGCAGAGGGTGTTGACTTCGAGTATGCCGAGGTGCTACTCGCAGTACGTCCGATCCCTCGGCAGCGAGCCGTACTGGGTGGCCGAGAGGCGGCGCTTGGAGCGCCAGCGCTTGGCTGTCCAGATGCTCCCTGGCTTGCACTGAGCGCTGCGAATAACGAGTAACATGCGATGAGTAACTCAGACAGTGCGAGAGTTGAGAGCCGCAGGAGCCAAAAGAGCCGCGACCTGCTGAAGCGGGCCGTGCAGGAAGGCGCTGGAAACCCTGCGGTGATGTAGTTCCCCGCTGCACTGCAGCCATTTGCAGCCTCTTGTGGGATCTGCAGAGGCCGGCGGCACTGCGACAGCCCTTTCACAAGAGAAAGCTTCCCGGCTCACATCTGTGCGGAGGATCCGAACATATCCGAATTACATGCTCGTGCTGACTCGTGCACAGGTACAGCTGGGAGATTCGAGCAGAGCCCGGTAGAGACGAGCCCGTCGATGCCAAAGGACCGAAGGGATCCAACGCCGCGGAGTCTTTTGTCGAGCAGGGATGTCACCATGCCAGGAGGAGCGCGAGCTCCGATTGCAAAGCTTCTTGCAGCGCTTAGAGAAGGTGCCGGAGCTTGTGCTGAGTTTGCGGAATTTGCGTGAATTGTTTGTTGCCTTGTAGTGCAGCAACGCGCTGCGTGTGGCAGGACCTGGCAGAACGTGGCCGCAAGTGGTGCCCCCAGCAAAGTTCTTCGCAGAGCTCATCGAGTGCATTATCTTGTGTGCCCCTACTACCAGACGGTTGAACACGTCTCTTGCCACTGGTCTTCGCAAGATGCTCATGGCATGATGCCGCGAGCATCTTCATGAGCCGAGACCTGCGTTTCGAAATCCTACTTGTAACTCCCATAGAAACTGAGATGGGATGGAGAATATGTTGAAGCCAAGAAGGTCGTGGCAGAATCAGATACGTCCTCGCGGCCCACAGCGCTTCAGCAGAACTGTCTTTGCTTCATCACCACACGGCACCGCTGTGGCTCGGGGCTTGCGGCGAAGCAACCGAGGAGGTTGATCTGCATGACCAGACGCCTCTGTTCTGAACCGCAGCACTGAGACAGTCAAGCTCCTTCTGAATCTGGGCTTCGAGGCCTGAACCTGGCTGTAGGCCAGACAGACGCGGTCCATGCTGGAAGCCGTCACCAAAGCTTCGGCCCTGCCCCCTGCCCCGCAAAAGCCGAGACCGAGACCGAGCCGCCCAAAGGAGAGCGAGTGCTCAGCGATGCGAGTGCTTTCGGAGTCTTTTTCCATCCAACTTCCCAAGCGGCCCGGATGGCAAAGACCCACAAAATGCGACCGGCTGCACGTTCGGAAGTCCCACACTCCCGACATGCGAGCCCGATGTCATGCTACGGCATGCTTCAAGTTTGGCCCGCATATTTGTCAAGCTTTCCACTACAAATGTTGTGAAAATGACAGCTACCACCATGATAAAGTCAAGAGGCTGAACATGGACAAACGCGAAGCCGGTGAGGCGTTTGTGTGCAGGTGTGAGGGTTTAGGGTTTCGGCTCGGTTTCGGGAGTGTTAGGGGTAAGGGCTGCAGCAGGAACTTGCGATTGGGAGTCTTAGGTCCTTGAAAGCGGAGATCGAAAGGTTGGATTGCCTCCTACCTGGCAGCCCTGCTGCATTCAGGTCAGCAATGCCTTCGTTGTGAAATCGTGGCAGAGGGTTCATGAAACCACAGCAAGGCAGTCCGAACAGAACTGAGGATTGCCCAAGCTGAAGGGCAAGAGAAAGAAGAAAAGAAAGAAGAGGCGGCTTATCCGACCAGCGAGGACTGGAGTCGCTGAGCATGTGTTTCTCGGCCATGGGAGCCAGGAGGAGGAAGAAAGCAAAGCCAGGAACTGTGCTGCTGAGTCGGATTGGATTTGGGATTCTGGCCGCTACGGCGTTTGCCATGTAGAACTCAGGCCTGCAGCAGAAGCTTTGGACCAGGCGGAGCAGGCAGAGCATGAGCGGGAGGAGGACACGATAGTCTTCCGAATTCCTGAGCTGCATGCTGGCCACCAAGCTGGAATCAGGACGAGGACGAAGATGCCAGGGATGACGACCTCACACCCGATGAGGACAACTTCGACAGCATCCTTTTTGCCGCAGCAGGGGTCTAAGGATCTCAGAGCTTTCCGCAGACCACGCTCGACTCCCCACTCCCTCGCAGACTTGAAGGCTTCTGCATGACCCACTCAGCCCACCGATGTGGTGTCTAGTCTGTGACTTTTCTGGTGATGTGTCCTTTGGACTCCTCCAGAGAACAGCTTTGGTTCAAGCCTGTTCCACCCTGCCAAGCTTCCGTCTGCTGAGGCTTCTGGAGGTATGCAATTCTTCTGAAGCAATGCAGGCCGGGCATCTCAGCCTCTTGCTGTGGTTATTCTGGCACCCTAAAAATACAGATCAACTGCCAGTGACTCGGAGTATATCAGTTGCAGCATGCAGGAGAGCATACGAATGCCGCATGAAGTACGCAGTGTCAGGCGGCGCTTGCGAATCGCTTTCATCAAGAAGAGAATGAAATGCACCGTTTTCAGCAGGGCGGCCGACCACACAAAGCACCGGCTGCGTATCAAAGTGAGAGTCCTTTAAAGAACGATTGTAGTCTGCAGGGGTAGGCTGTGCTGATGCTGGACATCCGCCTGGATTTCACCCGCAAGTGTTAGTTTGCGAAACGGCGAAAAGGCGAAGCCTGGCCGCTTCGCAAACTGCCTTCGGCCCCTTCGTCTCATTGCTCAAGATCTTAATGTGCTAGCGATGGGAATCCGGTGACCAAGTCGTACCACGTGTTGACTATCTGTTGGCTTTGTTGCAGGGTTCTGTGTCTGGTCATTGATGCTAGCTGCTAGTCCAAGAAGCCCCACCCGGGATGTCATCTTAGCTCGACTCGCTTTGGGCGCATTGAGAAACCGCCTGAGATTCTTGCCTACTCTGTCGTGTGCTGGGTGTCCTGGCTCGTTCGTTGCCGTCTCTCCAAAGCGGCACAGGCGACTGAAAGGCTTTCGTACTAGAGGCCTCAACCCGAGAGCACCCAGAGACGCCGGAGCTGAACCCCGCTGTCCCGCCTGGATGCGAACCCTTAAAATGCCCAAGGCCGTGGGCAACAAGCCTGAACCTGCACCTACCGTCGCTAAATTGTGGAAGAGCACCAAGGTGAGGAACCACCGAGAGTGCGCCTGGTCGAAGGCAAGGTCCTCCTGATCACGCTGGCTTCTCTTGAAGGGATTGAAGCCCTTGGCTCTTGCTAGGCACGCCTCTGTGCTTTGCTCCGGTCCTGCTGCTTCTACTGCCAGGCAAGGCTTCCACACGTGGCATCATCCGTAGTATCGCCAATCTTCGAGACAGTCTTATAGCAGCAGCTAAAGTCGAGTCCACCGCAACGTTCTCTGACTAGATGCTTGCGCACTGCGAGGATTCGCGGAATCCTTGCTGTCGACGCTGCGCGTCGCTTTCCGAAGCCACATTGTAGGCAGGTTTTGGGAGCGAGGAGCGATTAGGCTAGCGAGTAGTGACGAGTAGTTCGTCCGACATCATCGAACATGTGAGCAGGATCGCCGATTGTCCAATCGCCACGCTTCATTCACCCATCCTTCGAAGCATTGCGCCTGCAAATGTGGAAGTGAAAGCCTTCAATTCCTGTCGCAGCATCTGCTCCGGCGGTATTTGAGACAGAGTATGACTGTCTAAGGCCGCGAGAAGTCCCTAAGACGACTACTTTAATCGCAACGCCTCGCGTGATGGCATTGCTGCAGCACGCTCACGAAAGGACAGGGCAGCAGCATAGAGTGATCCGCAATGTAGACCCACAGGTCCCTCGTAAGTGCTCATGTACAGCCATGCCCATAACATCCCGACCTGGGCATCAAATATTTCAGGGTTTCAGGAATGTCACGACGGAGCCATGGCATCTGCCTGGTAGTGGCCGTGGTGACCTTCGTCTCAGCTTGCTGTACCTCAAGAGCCATGCCTAAGCTCATTGCTTTAACTGCGTTTTCGCGACATGAGACGACTTGAGCCGGGATTGTTAAGCACGACCTGTTCACGATCAGAGCAACTGCATGAGACTTGCATTCGCGGAATTTCGGGTAGACCACCCTTGCAGTTTATTCTACTGTGATGTAGTCATTTTGGCGTTGACATTTGCTTGATAGGCCGAAGAGACGGTACTAGTGTCAGTTCTGGACACCCAGCCATTGTCAGCCATTGCTACTGCTACTGTCGCGATCATTCGTGATCATATGTCCAGGCTCTCAGTGCACCCACCACGCCGGCATGTGCTTCTCTGAGGACCATGCCCGAAAGTGTTTGCCGCCAGCGATTTCAAGGTGGTCCCCATGGAGGGTAAGGCCCGCTCTTGCACTTGTTCAGCATGCGAAACGTCCCTTCAGCATCGGGTGAGGGCTACGGCGTCGTGGCCGGACGGAGTGTCAAAGCTGGTGAGAAACTCTACGAAGAGCCGCCGGCTCTCGTCGTGAACTCGGAGGTGCTGCGAGCGTCTGCGAGCTTCCAGTAGGAGTAGGACCAGAAAATCAATGGTTGACAAACTCACTCCTGTTTCCTGCTAGCATGTTGCCAGGACTCTATGCAAGTGCAGCTGTTCCAGACAGTGGCGACCGGGCGGGAACATCTGGAGAGTCTACTTAGTGGCCATGGTGAGTCTGCTGCAACGTACTTCGTTTGCTGTTTGGTTGTTTGTCGTTGAAGATCTCTGTGAGCCGTTCCTTCGGCGAGGCTGCGGCCGTGTTCGTCGTGGTCAACGTCTTGCTCGCGATTTCCGGGGCAGGCACTGCGTGGACAGCCTTGCTTAACAGATGCCGACAAGACACGCAGGCAAGATCGGTCACCTTAAAACGGAATCCAGCCTTCTAAAAGCGATGAAGTCGCAGACTTGGAGGCACTGGCTTCCGTTCCAACATTCCGGCATCATCACATCATCTAGGTGTGCCCAGCTACTTGGGAACGGTAGGAAGGAAGACCGACATATGCCATGTTTTGCTGGCTGTTGTGACCTGAGTACAGCACGTGCTGCCGGCCCTTCCGGAGGTCTTGCAGTGCCAATTCTCTTCGGTGCTGGCGGCGTGTATCTCTGGCTCAGGCAGCTGTTCAAGACACATTCGCCACAGGGGTCGCGCATGGCATAGAGATGCAGACGGAGCCGCAGTGGGTTGTGGTTCGTACGTTTTGCTGCCAGGAATTCTGGCGATGATCTGTTGGTCCCCGATGAGCTGAAGGCAAGTCTGGAAGAATCTGGAAGATTATTTTTTTATCTGTCGACCTGTAATAAGGAGCTTGGTGGTGTTGGAGACTAAGATTTAACCGACGTTCATGAAGGCTAATTAGCTGCAAGATGTAGTTTCGGCAGAAATGACAGGTTCTGTCATGCATGCACAGGCCTCATGTTCGTGGGCGGCCATGTGGACATGTCAACACAATAAGCCTAAGCACCTCACGTGCAGGGCTTTGTGCTGCGTTTCCAGGGGCCGTCATGCAAGAATAGTCACAAGTGGCAGGTCTAGTTGGCTTGAGGCAGGACTTGCGGTGGGTGTTGCTGGCAGGAGCAATGGGAAGCTCTCCCTGCCGAGAAACGTGAAGCTCTTGAGAGAGACACGGCTGAAGTGTCGAGTTGCCTCAGCAAGGCTCAGCTTCGGCTTCGCGGTTTTGCCATCGGTTGCCGCAGGAAGTGCTCCCTTCGGGTATGGGGATACTATTTGTCCTTGGTTGATCCTTTGGTCTACGTAGTGATCCTATAGGGCCCGGCAGAAGGGAAGGTAGGGAAGAGGGCAAGGAAGGACGGTTTGATCTTTGATGCTGTGTTGCTGTGGGTTTGGGCTGTTGTGGAAGACGTTTAGAGGCAGTGGCACATGAAGGTTTGACCCTGCGTTGGTCTGCTCGTTTGGGGTATTGCAGAAGCGGGTTGGAATGTTTGACCGTTTGACCCCTTTGGTGGTTGGGGTTGTTGTCAAAGGGATCCGAAGCCGCTCGTGACGTGAAGTTTCGACCGCTTTTCGTGGTGGAATACTCTGGGGATTGGAGTTCGGGGTGTTGTCCAGGGGTCGGAAGGCACTTGTGGCACATCATAAAGTTTTAGCACCGACCCCATCACACCCCCTTTTCGGTGCCGCATTGAGCGGGAGCGGGGGCCTGGGGTGTTGTGGAAGAAGTCTGAACGCAATCGTGGCCGTAAAAGGTTTGACATGGTTTGACGACTTTCCTGCTGCGTTGCTCTCCGGGTTAGGGGTGCTGTGGACAGTGTCGGGAGGCCGTCGTGACACACGGAGGTTGAATCTTGTCGGTGCTACATCGCTCTGGGGGTTTAGGTGTTGTGAGGGGGCCTGCGGGCCACACGGAAGGCAAAAGCCAGCCGACGCGGTATCCTGTAACACCCGACAGCCACTCATACAGCGTCCAACCGGCTGCATAGTAAACACACGTCAACACTGAGAGCATCTTAGAACTGAAATATGCAGCGCCCTAATTGCAATGAAAGGCAGTGTAGCGCCACAGTTTACTGCAGCAGCATTGACAATCACATACCCGTTCTGTTGTACATATGCATATTATACTAGATACTGACGGCCACTAGTCCACTGTACGTACCTATAAACTAAGTGCCGAGAAGTTTGTGGACGGTTGCCGAGAGGGTGGCGTCGCTCTACAATCTGACAAGTACCACCAGACTTCCCGAATCAAGCCACAGACAACAGGACAGTAATTGCAACAGCCGAACGACGTCGGTCTGGAGCATTCTGGAGTCCACAGCATGCGCGGCACAAGCTCGATGTGGATTGAAAGGGACTACCGCCAAGTGTCGTGTTGTCTGCATGTCAGGACTCGCAATTTAACTGGACGTTCTGCAATTCGCAGCAAGTGGACCACCGAGTTCCCTTCCAACAGCAGAGCAGTGTAACCGTGTAACCCGATAACCGGACACCATTACCAGTGTCGCATTGTAAGAGCAGACATGGTGTTGCTCAGTGTATCAGGCTTGAGCGACTGCTCAGCTGGAAAGAAGACGCTGCGACTTGACATCATCAGAACCATGCAAATCCAGGACTCTGCAACGGACTACTGTAGGCAGAAACTCTATGCGATGCATTGCAACATGTGGCAGTTTCAGCTCAACTGCCAAGGAGTGGGATCATTGACACCAATGCCTTCTCTCGAGGACCGGCACCGGAATTACTTCAGCTCCACGTTGTGGAAAGCAGCAAGGCCCTTCATGTTCCAAGGAGCCAGTGCTACTTCGTCGTCCCTCGTGGTATGTCCAGCATTGGCCAGGCGCCATCTTGTGCCAGCAGACCTGGGGAGAAGGACTTGTCAGGTATGTCCTCCACTCGCAATTTTGTCGTACCTTTACACTTCGAGGGTGACGTGATTCTACCACATGTTGTCACAAAAATCAGCTGCCCACTTGGTGCATTTGCCAGCAGCAGCGGCAGTGTCAGGCCAGCCTTCGTTGCCCAAGTTTCTCAGCTGGCAGGTTGAACCACTCGTGTTCACCCAACTGCCAGCAGTCCTGGGACGGGACCTCTGGTACTTGGACCGGCATGAGACAGGAGAGTGTGGCAACTTGGGCCACCTGCAAAAGTCTCGAACATGTCCCGACGGCAGAGAGGTACTGGCAGTATTTGCATTTTGCTTTTGTGCTGTTTACAACGGCCACAGTAGCAGCCGGGGCCAGGGTACATGCGTAATTAGGCCAATTAGGCCCACCGTCCAGCGCCCCAAGGCTCGAAGAGGCTTTCTTGAACTTTCAACCTGGAATCAGAGCATGTCTATACATGTATTCAGCAGGGTCCGACCTTCCGGCGAAAAGCTCTGGCGACCCTCTGGGCACGGAAGCCTCAGGCACGGAGAAGCTGTATGCGATGTGCGACATTCGCGAAGGAGAGGAGCTTTGCTGGGGCCTTAGGCCTCTTTTGTACGGTCGGTACTGACCGCAATGGCACAAGCTTTAGCGGCAAGCTGATGCAGCTCGGCCCAGGCATCACCTACTGCGACATCAGGAAACCACGTGCAGAGCGGAAAGAAGAGCTGAGACTGAAGCCGCTTCTCCGAACAAGTTATGCAACTAGTCGCAAAGCAACTGCCAACTTATCAGATATCATCCAGAGAAGCATCGTATTGTCAGATGCCCGCCTCAATTATGATATGTCTGTCTAGCAGCTTCTCGTCGTGGAGCATGCTGCCAATGCGAGATTTGTCGGAGCTTGGACTGGTTGAGCTGGTGGTGAGTCTCAATGGCAGAGCTTAAGGTATGGCTTTGACTGCACCTGCCCAGCATGCTCATCCTCAGATTGCTCGCAAAGCGACGAAAATCGCGTCGCTATCGCAAGGCCGAGGATTGCTGCGTGAGCCGATGCGGTAAGAATCGTCGGGCTCAATCATGTGCCCTCACAGGCCCTATCTTTCTTGCGTGGCAGGCTGGAGGAGGAGCTTTGCCGTGAGGGCCCTGCAGACCCTGAGCGCGGCTTGCGCTGTGCAGAGCAGCTCCTGGCAACTATTGACGAAGAAGGCATCCGAAACATCCGAATCCGAAGAGCTCCCTCTTCCACTTCCGGCTTCTCACTGACACCTGTCTCGGCAGGGCTGTCGGACAAGATGCTTCGAGGTTTGGCCTGCTATGAGGCCAGGGCACGGACGACAGGGTGGTTCGAGATCTATATTCTGTCAAGCGATGTGAGATGGCTTAAAGCAATTTGCTAGGCCATGGAGATGGCTTTGCGCCTTGGCGATGAAGAGGCCGGAACCTTCGAGAGCTCCGCTAGTGGCTGTGCGCTGGGCTGGGCTGGGCTGGACTTGGAGCTGACGGACTTCCAGAGATCAATAAGGCCTTGGTTCTCCCAGACGGGTCTTCCCCATTCAGGATGTAGGAGTCACGGAGTGGCTGTGAGACTCTTGAGCTCGGCTCTCTTTTAATCACCAAACGCAAGAACGATGAATCCGAAGGTTTGTAACGGAAGGCGGGAAGAGGACACCGTGCAGACTCTGCTGCGTCACAGAGTGCGGCATGAGAACCGTCTTTTCCAGTGGCGTGCATATATTGTAGGTCCTGTAGGTATTTGGTCATCTGCGGCCCACATCCATCATCGCATCCGGGGCAAATTTGTCGTAGCATGTGCCTGGCTGGCGAGAGTCCGTGCAAGGCTGTGAAAAGCTGGGCAAACAAGGCACGCGATTTGATCAGGGGATGTTAGGTGTACTTGTCACAGGGTTGCCCGTTCATTCAGCGGATTTTCTTCGAGTTATAGCATCGGGTCGATGCCCGGAGACACGGCAGCTGAAAGTGAGGCGGATCAACGCACTGCCGAGCCATTTCCAGTAATGCCGGGGATCATGCTGGAAACCGCAGGCAGAGCTTTACATCAGCCAGGCGGGCTGCATTTCTCACGCGGAGCTTTGTTTGTTAGGTCTTGGTCTTGTCCATGGTGCCCCGAAGCTTGTTCCACTCAAGACAAGCTTGATTCTATGACTCTTTCATGCAGCGCACAGTTGTGACCTGGGGCAGCTCGCCACAGACTCGCAAGGCTCGTGGTGCGGAGAACAGTCTAGCACAAGAGGCAGCCAAGTGCGGTGAAAGCTCCTCAGATGAACTGGTCGAGGTGTTGCAGGACGTGGCGCATGCAGACTCAAACTTCTTTTCTCGCACAGTCGCCAGCGGGATTCGCCAAGACTGACATGGTGGAATGGCCAGGATGGCACTAGCATCTGTTGCAGCTCTGTATTGCACTGGTTTCGTAGTGCTGCACCCGACAGCATCTGAGGCCCAAAGCAGCATCCTCTGTGGGCTGAGAAAGCAGCAGCCTCCTCGCTGGGGTAGAAAAGCAAGAAAAACGACATGGCACTTTGGTGTCAGCATCTCCATAGATGTGGGAATGATATGACATCAGCATCGATGTGGAGGCCTGGGGCGGAGCAACTTGTACGTGTCCTTGGCAGCTCAGAATGGCAAGGAGAAGGTTCCGCACGTTCGGACTTCAAGCATGCAGTGCTATGGCTAAGTGCAGCAGACGGTTGAGTATCGAAAGTGCTTGTGGAGTTGCCTGGAAGTTGCGATGCAGAATGTAGCGGTGTGTTGGTTAGCTCTGTGTTGGTCTTCGTGAAGTTTGGATGCGTTGTGCTGCCTGATTCGCTCCTCACCCTGCCGGTGATGTCTGCACCCTGGCCTGCCTAGCTGCCCGGCCTCCAGCCGCCCCCCCGCAGCCCCTCAGCACGAAGCATTCGGGTTGGATGCTCCCAACATGTATGCTGGAATTCTGAGTTGCCCGCTGTAAAACTGCGTACGAAGCGAATGTTCTGGAAAGACTGAGCACGAAGGTTTGTTGAAGTTCCATTTTTCCCGTTCCCAGGACTCCCAGGACGAAACAGATCAGACGACAAGGAGATTGAATCTTCACAGTATTTTTTGCTGGAAATCAATTATACGCTTTATGAGTTTCACAGCGACAACCATGAACTCCAGTAAACCCGTTGTCCGCACGTTCTTGCCCGGAATCCATGTTGTCCGACACGGACGTCGGAGAATGTGGCCCGCAGGCAACAGCCTCAGCAAAAGCTTACCGTTCTGTTCAATCTTTTTGAGAAATTGGGCTAATGTAGAGGAATTTGATAGCATTGAAAATTTCGGCGGAAATCCGAGCATTCGGAATCATGTGGTGCCGGGGGTTGGCTGGAGGTCGGCTTGGCTAGAGGGCCGGTGCAAGGCCCCCCCTGGCGTGTTCCGGCTGTATCCACATAGTGGCTTACTGCACGCCGAGCTCTGCCGAGGCAGTATAAGGAAAACCTATTAGCTATCTCCATATCCGGGTAGATTGCCCATGACCGATCTTCTGCATGTGTGGGAGTTGCTGTCTTTGAGCTCGCCAGATTAACATGCAGAAGTTCGCACGCCTGTCCAACGCGTTCAAGATGCTCCAAGAGAAGAGGCTCTATGCATGACAGATGCCGCTTGTAGTCAGTTTTACATCAGTGCCATGGCTGCAGTCCGCGGGGTAGGATGGCCGTCAGCCCTTCAGCAACCGCTCGTGAGGCAGATTGACAAATTTGTCAACGTGCGGAAGCAAAGGCAGGGCATCAATAAGAGATGAGCCAAGACGTTTCGTCGTTTCACCAAACAAACGATCGTCAACTCAACACATGACCCGAAACAATTGATTTCAATTTTTCATTATTTACCGATACCTGACACCGCCATCGCCCGGCACTCTTAACTAACTCATTCTATGACTCCCAAAACAATATTTCAGAATCCAAATAAATAATCATATATATATATATTTATTATCTCGACTAGAAAAAGCAAAAATAAAAAGATTATCATATATATATATATATATTTTTTTTTATAAATAAATAGAATTGTAATTTACTTTACGACAATATTATATCATATTCTCTAGTATTGCTCGAATAAAGCGGTGCCGTGCTGGTTGCGCGCGCGTAATTCTTGGTGCTCTCTAAATTTCTTCCGATTTCGTCGATTTATTTTTAAAAATTTCTGGTATATTGGGCTCGGGATACTAAAATTTTAAATATAAAAAATTCGAGAGCCTTTCTCTTATTACTAATATTTTAGAAATATATTAGTAAATCTAAGGAATTCTCATAATATTATATTTCTAAAATTTTTAATAATTTTAGAAAGATATATTATTGATAATAAGAAATATATAACTAGAAATAAAAGCTCTAGCAATAAAAATAGATATTTTGATTTTTTTTAGTTATGGTCACGATAATAAAATTTCCGAATATAAAATTAGCGCCGAGCTCTCTGAAATAAGGATCTATAAAGTGTAGATTTCTTTATATTTCATAATTTATTAGGGAGGCTTGTGTTGAAATTCTGGTCTGTCAAAGTCTTCCTATTAATTCTTATTTATTATACCTGTTAAATTATTTATTTCTGGATTCTTATATAAGATAGGATATTTAAGACGCATATAAATTTATAAAGATGTGTTGCTTCGGTTCCGACACTATAGATATAATACTTGGAGGTCTTTTTTATAATTATAGTCCTGGCATGCCTCGCAACACACTTGCATTTTGCTCCATCCGACAGCTTGCAATAGTCGTCGCAGCAGAGCCCCAAGCTAGCCGCGGGCGATACAGGGTCGAATCTTGAAATCGAAAAAATCGTCTCATTTTATTATGAGATGGAGGGATTCCTCTATTCCCAATTTGCCAGCACCTCCTTGCTTTGCACTTGCCACTCGAGTGTCAAGCTCACCCCAATAATAAAGGTCCCACTTGAAGGACCAGGTTGGCCCGAGCCATCCACCACGAGACTAATTTGCGTATCTTTCCCACCAAGGTATTTATTCAATGCTCATCATCCATATTTATATCGAAGGCAAGCTTTTCGATACCAGTTTGATTATGATAAATGAGCATATAGAATACAAGGATTTGCTTGCTGAGAGCAACCCGCGGTAGGAATAGGTTCATTTCACGAGCGATCATTAATTCTATATAACGATATGGATTCGGGCACTGATAAGATATCATTCTATGCTGTCCTGCTGATCGTAATCTTCCATATCTATTATTTGGGATTTCGAATAAAGATATAGACGAATAATAGGGTCACGTCCATCAGAGAGCAAGCCAATTTCAATACACCAGTCAAAAGTCGTCTGCTCGATTTCAGGACCATAGAGTAGCTGGTACAAATTCTTACCATTTGCTCTTGCTCTACTTTCCTTGTTATTTATATTTTCCCCGATTATCGTTGTCCGGGCTGCATTACTATGCACGAACATATGGTATATCATTATAGATAAGAATATCTGGGATATATATTATAAATTCGTCTCCTATAGCAATATCATCACCCATCTCCATATTATTGATTTGGCCTCCATATTTCCTCCTCTTGCCCTTCTTCGCTCCCTTCCACAAGTGTGGTCTAACTAACGGCAGGGCAAACGGTGTCTTGCCGACGCCTCGTTTCAAGAGACGTCCTATTGAACGACTTCACCATGATGTCGAGCTACACTTCGGCATGATTACGGCCCCATTTGGGAGTCTCCGAAAATAAGGGGTCCCTTATTTTGGGGTCCTTATAATAGGGATCCTACTATTTAGGGTACTATATTAGGGTCCCCTATTTTCGGAAACGACCATTTTACTGCTGTCAAAAAAAATCATGAGGTCTGATGTGTTGCGATGCTGATTATTCAGCATGGTCGAACCGTGGGACCTCGAGCCTCATGCTTGGAAGACAAGGTCAATCCAATCGAACTCCAACCGCTGATCCTTGAAACCCAAACACTTGGCTGACTTCTGAACCCCTCCTAAAAGTTAAACTTTTAGCTTAAATATTATAAATCATAAAGAAACCCAAAAAGTTAAAGTCCTAAGAGCCAACCAGAAGAGAAAACAGAACAACCGACCAATGACTCGGCAACTACCACACATACCTATGCCGAGCGCAGGGCCTACAGATTTTAGCCGAACCTGCTGATTCTTATGCTCAACACCCGATTCCGGCAAAAGATCGACTGTAAACATTAGAAAACCTGTTTTTGATTAAAACCAAGGTACGTCCTAAATCCCGCGCCCGGTGTCAGAGACAGCAGTACTTTCAATTCAAATAATGTTTGATGCCTTACATTTTGAAGTTTTTACAACCACCAGTATTAATAACCTATCCGACGAAATCTCTATCACCTCCATTTCCTAGATTCTGCACAGATTCGAAAACTTCATAAACAACAGTACACAGTAAGTATGTCCCATGTAAGAAACAACTCCCCTAAAGCATGACTTGTGATTCAAGAACCTACCATTAAGCAATATTAGCAAAATCCGATCAGATGTAGGCTCAAAGGAGAAATCAATATTGAGGTTCTTTACCTGTCTTCGCATTTTGGTTGGCCTATTGCTGCAATGACTGCCGTTTCAAGAACCCACTTTGTGAAGAGACTCGATGTTGAGCAACTTTCCGCGCTTCCCCTGCCGACGACCATGATGATGGGTTGAAGAACGCCTTTTGGATCAATCCCAACCCTGATGAGGGTCGAACCTATACCATATAAAGGGACAAATACAAAGTAATGCTATCCACCACGGCCACCTGTTCCTGCATTCAGACAAGACAAACAGCGTCGATGAACAGCCGCCGGGCCCACGTCAGCGGGGGCTCCTGGAGCTTGGAGAGCTGTCGCAAGACAAACGTAAGGTCCATTCAGGGTTTGGGGTTCTGGGTTCAGGGTTTAGGGTTCTGGGTCTATAGAAATTGTATAGGCTTCGGGTCCAGGGTTGTGAGCGAAAGTTTTGACCGAAACGTTTTGTTTTTTGCTTTTGATTCGACGTTTGGGGCTGGGCTGGCTGGGCGCCACTGGCCTACACTGACGGGCTGGGCTTGGGGGGCGGCGGCTGGGTCTCGGCTGGGCTGGGCTGGCGAGCCGCTAGGCTTCTCTGAGTTGAGCTGGCTGGGCTGATAGAAAGTGTTTTGGGTTCGGTAGGGGCTTTGAGCAGGTTTTGCTTTTTGCTTTCCATTTTTGATTCTGGGGGCTGGGGGCTGGGCTGGGCGGCTGGGCTCTTCGCACCCGTTCAATGAAAATTCGAAACTCATGAAGAGTTCGAAGCAACATTCACACAATTCTATTTCTCCTGTCCTTGAGGGTTTAGGGTTCAGGGTTCTGGTTTTGGGGACTCGAGTTCCGAGTTGCTCCCAAAGCCTGGACCTCTAAAGCCACAAACCGGCGGAGGCGAACGGTTCGGACAGAGCCTTGGGAATACACGGTACAAGGAACGAGCACAGCTAAAGATAATGACCGAACCCTGCTTAGGAAACCCATCAGACTACGACAT